ATATGGACTCTGCAGTAGTAGAGTCTGTAGACTTTATTCACAATCACGTGAGTCTGTCTAATTGCTTTAGAAACCAAAGGTAATTTTTGTGTTATGTATGTAGAGAATATTCTTGATAAAAAGTTTCTGAGTATTTTAAAAAGTATCCTCATGCTTGAGTGCTCTCTGGGGAGGTCACAGGTTAGTGTGCAAATGTATCTGGTCATTTTTATGCTCACTGTTTCTTCCTTTGTTTCATTCTTAGACTAGGGACGACTGTTATTATTCAGTAAGTGAGGCCCTGCACCGCTGCGCTGATCTGCTCTGTGGGCTTGATGGTGGGACCAGGAACATACACTGCTGGCAGTCACGCTGTGACTTACTTGGTGAACAGGCTCTCCAGCCACCCTCCCTCAGCTGGTGTCATGCTCGGGACGTCATCATTGCACCGGTAGTCCATCACCCCTGCTGGGAAGGTTGTGTGGATTTTTTTTTTTCTCCAGCCTGTCAGTTTGGCTCTGAGCTTGGTAAATTATGACTCAGAGCTGGTTGGTTCCTGGTGTGGGAAGCAGGGGATGCTTCTCTGTGTTACAGATACTTCTCCCTGAAGCAATTGCTTCCTGAGGCCACTGAACATCTCCTGCCACTTGACCCCTTTGTCTATTCCCACCAGCGGAAGCCAATTGGTAGGGACCCTGCTGTCTCTATCCCCTGGATGACCTCCTACAACAACTCTCTGTTGGAATCCTCTATGGACAATTTTGGTAAAACACCGTAGGTGTTTTTCTAGGATACTTCCTGGTCTTTATATCATCATCATCATCATCATCATCATCATCATCATCATCACCAACACCACCATCATCATCACCACCACCATTATCATCATTTTCGTCATTGTAAAGATCCTATGTCCATTAGGTAACTAATGCTGAGTGACTATTTTATACTGAACCAAAAATTAAAGAATGTAAACTTCTGTTCTAGGATTATAATTCAAGCAGGTGCATTGATATACACGTAAGTTTATAGGTACTACATAAACAGAAATCAACCTGCTAACTAGCTGGTTCAGATTGCTCATTACAAGCTAGGTCTGTGACTGGATCATGAAGAGAACCTCTGGGAATCATAAACTGAAGGAGGCTGTTCACCTTTCTTTTTTGGTTAGTGTTTTGGTTAGTGTTTTAGGTGAACAATGATAATAGATTCACTTCGTTGACTTTGAGTCTCTGTGGTCAAAGAGAGTGTAAGGTGGGTAGTGGTACTGGGATTGCTGCTTTTTTGTTTGGTTGGTTTTTTGGTTTTCTTTTTTCCTTTTTTTCTTTAAGGGAAGGAGATACAAGATGATCAAATGTGCCTTGACCAGCTGTAGCAGAGATGGTAAAAGGGACAGGATGGTGGAAAGAAACCGGATCCAGAATTATGCCCAGAACCCAATTGTAGCTCTGTTACCAGACGCAAGATCTGGGTCAAAACATACACCTGGAAATTCCTAGTGTCCCCTTTTCATCTGTATGATGAGAGTAATAACATCTGCCCTGATGTGCTAGAGGTGTCCAGTATGTTAGTCAGTTTTGTGCCCTGGAGATAATCAACTTAGAAAGAAAAAAAAAAGGGCTGGAGCTTAAATCAGTGGGTAGCATACTTGCTTAACACCTGTAAAGCCCTGTTTGATCCTCAGCTCTACACAAACCCTGTGTGATGGCACATGTCTGTAATATCTGCATAAGGGGACCAAATGTTTAAGATCATCCTCAGACACTTGGCAAGTCTAAAGCCAGCCTGGGACACATGGGATCTTGTCTAGAAAAAAAAAAACAACCCACTAAACTTGTGTCTGCTCCCAGTTTTGGCATTCCAATCCATAACTACTTGATCCTGTTTCTCTGACTCTGCAGGAAGGCAGCCCAGGATGGTGGGACAATACAGGAAAGCAAACTGGCTGACCTCATGGACAGGACAGGAGGAGGGAGCAGGGAAGAGGAGAGAGAGTAGAAGAGGAAGAAGGAGAAGAGAAAGAGGAAGAAACTCTCTCACTTCCCATTATCCTTCTTAAAGACACACCCCAGTGACCTAAGGGACCTGCCAAACAAGCCCCATCTTTTAAAGGTTCTACCACCTTGAATAGCTTCCTGAGGACACACAGGTCCTTAAGGGGATACCGAAGATCCAAAATACAGCCCTTGGTAGGTGCTAGAGAGTAATCACCATTTTCTCTGTACATAGGAAGGAGCAAGGCAAGGTTAACTAACAGCTGGAGGACCCACAGGAAATTCTCTAGGAATATGCATTTCCTAAAGATAGTGTGGCTGCAAGTACAAGTCTAGGTTCTGTTCTATACATTGACACACAATCTGAAGAAGCTTTAAAGAATGCTTTATTAAAAATCTTATTAAAACCCCATCTTTGGTTAGTGTGGATTGTGTCTGTCATCAGCAGAGAAATCTCTCATACGTCTTTGACCAGTGGCCATGAGAGTGGGCGGATGGGCGTGGGACTTGTTTGCAGATTTCACAATTCTGAAGTACTCAGCGCTGCCGCTCTGACTGTGGGCTTTGAGTGCTGGACCACAGTTTCCCTTTTACAGGTTTCCTCATGGTTACACTGCAGCAACTGGCTGTCTGAACACTGTTATCTGGCGGATCCCTCCCCTGCACCTTGCGAGGAATCTGCGCTTTGTTCCCACTCCAGACCGATTGGCGCTGGCACCTGTCCAAACAGTGCTGTCTTCTTCGGTGTAGCAGGCCAGATGCCTTGGGGGGCCCGTGGTCAGTAAAGATAAAGTTGCATAGTTCCTGGTTCAGAGAAGCCTTAGGCTAGACATTCTCCAGCTTTTCAGGGATTAGATGTGTCCTTTCTCTCCTTCTTCATGAGGTGAGAAGTAGCAGTAGGGAGTTTTATCAGACCTGGATTCCAGCACTGGCTCTATCCAGTGTAATGCTGGGCCCCTGATGCTCTCTCCAGGATAGCGTTTTCATCAGTAATGGACGGTGGCCAACGATCTCTCTGTTTAGTTGCTAAGGGCACATAGAACCCTGCTCATTGGTCTCACGATGTTCCCCCACACATAAGGCTGTGTTTCTCCATGGTGGCCCAGTGTCTGGGTGTGCATGCCCAGGGCTCTGCTTCTCCCCTGCCCTGACTGGCATAAAGGGGCTTCCTGTTTGTTTCACCACCCACTCCTAGTTTGGAGCAGAGGGTGCGGAGAGCACTTTGTTCAGGAAGGAAGTGAGAGGACTGAGTGTGGCAGGAGCTGGGCTTTTTTTCTTTTCTTTCTTTCTTTTTTTTTCCCCCCAGAAGATGAACAAGGAGGTCAGAGTGTCGTCAGAAGATTTCCATCTGTTTCTATTTCTTGTTAGAAAACACACCAGGTTACTGTGTGACATGTACCAAGCACCTGTTCAAGACAGGAGTTGGGGGCTTCCATACCCCTGCTTTCTGAAAATTTCCCACTTTGCTGTAGGACTTCTGCGTACGACTTTTCAGCGGAAACCACTGCGCTCAGCGTGGACAGGGTGTCTCAGCGGCCGGTCCTGTTTGGACAGCCATGGGGCTACAGGCTTGTGTTTTGGGACTGCAGAGTTTACGTGAAACCTCCAATTTCCCACTCAGGCTTTCGTCCTCACCGTCTACCTTCCAACAAGTCTCATGCCTAATGTGGAGCCGCAGGAGCTGAAATGAGAGATGTGTCAATGATTGGGAAATGAAACAATGGGTCAAGCAGTTTGTTACAAAAAATACCCTGGGAACTGAGGAAGGCTGAGAGTGGAAGAAACAGTCTTCCCCAGGCAAGAGCGCACCAACTGACTGTTCATTTAGTACTAAATGGTCAGCCCTGAAAGCATACAAACATGTGACCTTATCAAGACTGAGCGGGTTGTATTTATGTTACGTAATACGTACACACATAACAATTAATGTAAAAAGAAGTCTTGAGTTCAAAAGAAAGTAAGAAAGGGTATTTGGGAGGGCTTGGAGAAAGGACAGGAAAGGGAAAAATGATGTAATCATAATTTTGAGAAATAATAAAAAAAACCCCACTCTGTTTGTGTGACCCTCAAATCTAGATATTCCAAACACATGGCTTGGACCCATCTAAAACAATGAGCCTGCAGATGGGCTCTGCAGAGGCTCAGAATGCAAAGTGTGTTTGCTAAGTTCTTTTTCTTTAATGGTTTCTTAGGAGTGACTACTGTCCGTAGCACTGAGTGCGTGGAGAGGCAGATGGAGTTGCGGCACATTCCCTGGGCAGTCAGGGTAAGGGCACGGGTGGAGCCTTCTTTCTTACTCCAGTGACTTTCTAAATGACTTGGTGAGGGGATCACAGATTTTGCTGCTTTTGCTGCTCAGTGTTCAAGACAGAAGTCGGTCCAAATTACTACTGTTACAGAAGCGAACTTAGATCATTCCTTTAAAGAGGCAGGGAGAAGAAACTCCAATTTTCTGTCGCAGCTCAGTGCATCCTGCCTGAAGGGCTGTGGGGCCTGGATGCCGAGCTGGCCACTGACGTGGTTGGGGAGGAAGATTGGCATCAGCAGATTTTCAGGCTCAGCCCTAGTGTGGAAACAGATGCCCTAAAGCAGAACAGAATCCACCCTGATCAAGCTCTTGGCTGCTGCCACAGCTCCCATGGCCACCATCTGCTATCTTAATGCCTCCCCAGCCCCCAGTGACACTCCCTGCTTCTGGTAACCTTCCCTTGTGAGTAGTATCACTGATTTGGGAGACTGTAAGCTATAAATAATAGCTTTAGCAGCCTAACTCAAGCCAAGAGCAGATCCTTCCTCTCTAGGAAAGGGAGAAGTAGGCTGTTACCCTCATCTGTCTCCTTTCCCCTCTTCTCATCTGTCACTTACCGATTTCCTTCCCCTCCACCAGCTCCTAGTGCTGCCTTGGCTTACAAGTTGCATCCGAGGAACACCTCAGAGCTCTGAAGTTCTAACTCCCCATAGAGTGAAAACTTAAATTGGAAAAAAAAAAACTAGGAAGAGATCAGCACTTATTTTAGAAGGCTTCTTCTTTTTTTAAGACTGGCTTAGGTGCCAAGTACTATTAGCTCCTGAGATATGGTTGAGTGGGGTGCCCTTCAGAATGCTGCCCTTCACATCAAACAATCGAGGTAATTTGTCATACAGTTTTGGGTAGACTGCATGGATATCAATTAATTTCTGATCTGGCCTTCAGTGTAAAAGTACTAAAGCGTGGGGAGTGTTGGCTTTCAACAGGCTGCACTGAGGACAGCTTCTTCAGACGCTCTGCTGCGCTTTCGTTTGGCATGTACTTTTAAAATAGAGTTCAGATCTGGTTCTAACTTTAGGATGTCGAGCGTCTTAGCTGATCTGCTACCACAGAGCACTGTAGCCTGGGTGGCAGAAGGAGAAACATGCATTTCATACTTACAGAGTTGAGTCCAAGATCAAGGTGATGGCTGGCTTGTTTCCTGGCAGGAACTTTCTTCCTGGTCTTACAGATGGCTGATGGATGTCTTTCTGTATCTTCTCATGGGGGTGAGTGAGAGCGTGTGGAAGAGCAAAAGAGAGACACAGACACAGACACAGCTCCTTTGGTGCTTGTTAAAAACAAAGGCACTGTGATGGTTGATTTCCTTTATCAACTGGGCAGGATTTGGAATCTCCTTGGAGACATATCTCTGGGTGTGTCTGTCACTGTGATAGTATTTCCAGAGAAGTTTAACTGATGGAAGAACCACCCTAAATATTAGAGACACCGTTTCACGGGCTGGAGTTCCCAACTGATTGCTGATGCAGTGATTCCACATCTCACTCTTCTGTCCTCGTGTCTCTTGTACTCATGTCTTCGGTATCATGATGGTGTGAGCCAAAGCCAACTTTTCCTTGGATGCTCTTGTGAGGTTCCTAATACAAACACCAATCCTGTGATTAAGACTCCACTGTCATCTTTTCTATTTAGAGATATCAAAATAGAATATAATATAATGCCAAGTACCTTCACATTAGGAGTTTGTGAATTAACATATTTTGGGGGGGTAGGAGAGTAATAAGCACTTAGCCCATGGCATGGTACAAATTATTTAACTTCTCTAAACTTTGTTTTTCTTCATCTGTGGAATTCAGCAGTAACAGGAGCTGCTACTGCACGGTTTTAAAGATTGCAGGAAGCAAACTGTGCAAAGTTTCCAGAACTTGATAAAGATTTTGCCACTTGTAACTCCTTTCAGTTTCCTTTCCTTTCAGCAAGTTTTTATTCTAATAAAGGAGCATGTCATCCATAGTATCTTAGAATCATTAAAGTTTTGAGCAAATAGAGACCCCAGTAATGACTTTTTCTAGTTCCCTTGCTTCCAGATAATGAAATAATGCTGAAACTTCTCTGAGAAAGAAACTTCTCAGTGCTTTCTTGGCTGAATAGGGTCAGGAATCCAAGTGTTATTGTTGCCCGATTGTCGCTCTTTCAACAACCTTATTATGGTTCAAGTTCTAGTTGCTTTAGCTATAAAATCTGCCATTCCAGACTTCTCCTTTGGCAAAAGAACAGCACTTATGAGGTCAATTTAATAAAAAAAATTGTATCTCAGATAAAAATTGGGGACATAACAATCCATGGATAAGAATATCAAATTAGTAAGGTTTCCATCTAAAGCAAGTCAAATACGCTCTTTGAGGGAAAAAAAAAAAACTTAAGTTCTTACAGGCAAAGATGACTTTGAATAAAAGCATCATATAGCCCTAGAGATCAAGTATTAGTGAGATTACCATTGAATATTATACACTAAGCTTATGACCAGCAGGGAATTTGACTCTACCAATATGTGAAGGAATGGCTATTCAGAAATGGATGAAAGAGTGGAGGCTGTAAGAGTGTGGGATGTGGAACTACAAAGAGAGGCCAAAGCCAGATCTGTCCATGCAGGCTGTCTTCTAGAAAGGTGGAAAGCCACATCTTCCATGAGGCAGATGTGTTCCTCTCATAAAGATGAACGGACTTGAAGACACATAGTCCTAATTCTACAATTGGAGATGATGCCATGCTCATAAAGCCTCCAAGTTCCCTCTGTGTTTCTATGCTGTCTTCAGAAGAAGGGAGTTTGGCTGACTGTAAGAGACAGATGTAGGGGTCCACATAGACTTAACAAAGCTCAGAGTTGGGATTCTTTATTTATTCTCCAATATCCTTTGAACTTAAACCTACAATAGACATTGATTATTCTAAAAAGCATTGAGTTTTTTTCTTGCGCCTACAAGGTAACCTAAAGCAAAATGAAGTCCAACATCTCTGCCTTCACTTTAGGCACCTGCTTATCTTTGGGCATTGGCAGATTCACCATTCCAGAACATCTGTGTGGAAACTGGTGATGTTTACCTATTTCATCCTCCATCAAGCTTGCAGTCAACTTGTACTACAGGAACAGCAAAGTTTTATGAGACAAGTCCCCAGACTTGCCCAGGCTGTGCCCTGAAGCAGGAATAATCCTTAAGGTTATTCCCTCTAGCAGTAAGGTAGTCTTTGAGTTACTGTACAGAACCAGAAATGAGCTGCCAGGCCACACCTTGAACAGGACTGCTTCATAATGCACACACCTTTCACCCTCCAACAGTTCTTCCTCTGTTTCAGCCTGAAGCAGTACACCATGTCAGTATGTTAAAGGTGAACTTGGGGCCACTGGGTATCTTCATTTGCCATCTTCCCAAAGTGCCACATTGATGACTTTTTGGTAGTTTTTTTTTTTTTTACCATTCTTCATCTCTTTGATTATTGTATTGGGGTGAGTGGCTGAGCCTAGCTTTTTGGAGTTGCAGGAGTTGCAGCCTTTAGTCTAAAACTTTGCTAACAAATCCTCAGGAGGTGAATTTCGGGTGCCGGCCACATCAAATATCAGAGCCTGCAGAAAGGGTTTTCTTTCACCTAAGGCGAACCTCCCAAGTAAGTGTCACTTGAAAAGTTGGCTTGGCTCTAAACATGGTAGGTCTTCTGGTGACACTTGTAACTCGATCACCTCCTATTTTAGCGGTTCCTAGATGTAATCAGGGCAATGATTTATGTGGGGACTAAATGAACTACATTTCCTCCAGCTATGTCAAAGCTTAGTTCCAACCTATTTTTCTCATCTGGGCTCCTGCTCTACTCTCCCCTCCCAATTCCTGTTTTTCATTTCCATGGCTGCTTATGAGTCTACTGAATGCTGAAACAATGTTGAGAAAGTGAAATTTGATTTATCACCCACTAACCTTGCCTGTGTGTGATACAGTCATATCTTGAATGAAATGAAGTATTTTATTATGGAATTTTTTAAGAAATGAGTCATGCTTGGGTGTGTTTCCAAGCAGCAGTCAACTTAATAATAAATGTGTTTGTCTTTATGTAATATATTTGTCTTTATATAACATGTAACATAGATTTTTTTCTTAATAATATTTTAATTCATGATTATGCCTTTAGCAGGGACAGACTGTGACATAAGATCTTCCAGCCAATGAAGAGAAAAGATAAACTACAATAATACTGATGCAAGAGTGGCTTTTGTAACATCAGTTATATCCCTTTGCACATGTGTAACAGTTTGAATTTATCATGGACTTTGACCTTCATAACTACTTTGTGGGATAAACCTGAATAGCTTATCATTAGGTATAGGTGGAAACTGGATTATCTTGACATTAGTGTTTTGAGGGTGGTGGGGTGTGGTGCCGTGAGAATACTATGGGGGGTTCTGGAGTCATTGGCTGCTATCCATCAACTTGGCATCTAAGGTTTCTCTCAGACATATCTGCTATGTAGCAGTGATGGCATCCCACCAATCCAGATGACCAGAATCATGCTCCCTATCTATCAGAAAGGTCTTAATTTATTAACTGCTTTTGTTGAGAGCCTGTTTGGTGTAGATCATTATTATAGCCTCTAGAGAAGTATTTATAGACTTGATCCACACCTATGTACTTTTGGAAGTCACAGTGAATAACAAAACTGGCACTAAACACAGCTTCTCTTCAGGGTATGACAGTCACCATTCTAAGCATGGGCATACCAAGACCAATTAGACATATGGAACTCACAGTGTGACATCCCAATGATATGCCACGTAATTAAAAGTAAATAATGCAACCTTCCCAGCTTACCGTATGAAGTTTTCATGAAGGTTAATCATCACAATAGCTGTGAAGTTACAGAAACATATTTATACAAAGTGCTCTATACTTAAAGGGTACAGCCAGACAGTGACTAATCATTATAAATAGTAATGATAGTGGCTTCTATTTGTTGATGGTCTGCTATGTGCAGATCCCTTATCACAGATTTCTGTGATAAGTGATTTGATTTTACTCCTTACAACTCTATGCCAATAATTAATTGGGTTAATTGGTTATCTCAATTTCAAAAAAGCATTTTGAGTCAGAAAGATAAAGAGTTAATGTATACCATATGGGCAGAATATTGTGAGATAGGGATTTCAACTCAGTCTAACTTCATAGATTATTTTGTTTAGAGCCCGATGTTTAGTGAAGTTTTATCATCAAAAGGGGATAGGTTCTTTCATATTATCTGCAGTGTTTTGGGAGCATAAATTCCCAGGGAATTATATTAGTGCACAGTGGCATGGGACAGTACATGACATTCATTCCAGGCACCTTGAAAAGAAGGTGAATATCAAGGTAGAAGAACAAATGTTTGTCTCAAGTATAATACATATTTATTTCTTATGTAATATCCCCAAAGGATGTTTCTTTGTTTTTGTAGAATCCCACACATGTTAAGCATTCCCTCTTTAGCTAACCACATTCCCAGATCCTAAATGGTGCTTTGGATTGGTGATTACTAGTTGTGTGTGATTCAGGACCCTGACCCCTTCTATCTTGTGGCTTTGCCATCTTTGCCAAGGCTGGCAATTTCCAAGGTTGTAATGTCTGCTGCCTCAGACTGGTACATGGAGCAAGTGCAATGGTTGCTATGTGTGATAGTTCATGGGTCAGACCTGTGAGTGGCATACAGTCCTCACAACTCATTGGTTGGAGTTCAGTTTCATGGCCATGACTAACTACAAAGGAACTAACGAGTGAGATCTGGCTATGTGTGCCCAGGAAGAAGGAGCCAAATGCTTCATATCTCTTGCACCACGTGGTCTTCAACATTGAAATAATGAGA